AGAAATATTCTCCTATTAAATGAAGCTAGTTTACCCTTTGGCAGGAATATACCTTGCTTTCAACTGCAGTTACAGCTCCTTGAGCATTTATAATACACTTTTTAATGGAAAGAATTTCAGGCTCTTCTATAAAATTGAATTCAATGTCAAGTCTGAGGGAGAAGAAGGGGTCTTTCAAGCAGTTTTTTACCCAGAAAGCATGTTACAGATTCTAAAAATAGACTGTGCATACGTTAATGGTTATATTATGAGGTAGCCAAAACTCAATGACTGTTGAGCACTTTTTTAACTCCCATTGGCTCAAAGAGGGCTCAGTACTTCACAGAATCAGCCTGAGGGAGAGAGGAGGAGAACAAAGTGAGAATACACAGTCCCAGCAGTGCTCTGGCTGTGCATGCAAACCTTTTGCAGTCAAAATGCCCCACAGGAGCATGAAAGGATGTTTCAGTCTGTAGCTCATTTAATCAAGGGCTCCCCCTCACCAGAGGTGTTCAGAGGGAACAATCTTGTCATATGAACTAAGGACTAAAACAGGAGAGGCTGCTTTGACTTTGGATTGTACATTGAAAAACCCTTTTAACAGAATAGTGCACATTGTGGGAGAACGGAAAAACCCCCATGCCTTCCCCATGCAGTTTGCATGTATTACAGAGGAGAGGGCTGCCTTCTAAAGCTCACTATTTCTTTCCACTGCTTGAGTAAGTGTATGAAGGTTCAATCCCTCTTGCTTTAGAAATTATTTTGTTGAGCAATAGGTGAACATTTTAGTTATTCAAACACCACACTGGCAACAGAGCTGAATGAGCTGATTGAGCTTCTTTGCAAAGACTCTGGTTTACAAATCTGCTAGCTAAGGCTATAAACGTGACCCTGTTCTTCACTGTAGCATCCAGGCCATCCATGTTCTCCATGCAGGAATGATTTTAAAAAGTCATCAGGCAAGAGCTGACTGATGACTCCAGATTTGAGAGCTGTGATGGCCTTTTGACTTAAGTAACTTGGGGTATTGAGTTGTAAGCAGCAATGAAGTTGTAAGGAGCAATTATTAATGGAGCCAGGCACCTTGCATGCAGTTTTTGCTTATTTACAAGAGTGTAGTTAGTCAGCTTCCTTCAGGAAAGGAAACCTTGAACAACCAGAGAACTTCTTAGCCCATGGCAGGCATTGTCCCCCTCCTGCCCCTCTTGGGCTCCAGGGTGATGCACCAAAGCTATTCAGACTGGTTTCTAAGATCAGTATTTTCCAACACCTGAGTTTTGCTGGCAGTATCAGCTAAGGGAAATACCTCTCCTCTCTGCCCCTCTCTGGTTATTCCTGCTCTGTACGTCAGTGCTGTGGTTTTAACCCAGATCTCCTGGCAGGGCTAATCACTATGGTGTAGAAAACAACTCTGACAGCGTTGTCAAAGCCAGGCTGCCTTCAGATTACAGCCTGCCTCTGTCCTTGAGTTCCAACTTGGCTCCTCCATGACAGTCATCACCTTCAGGTGTTCTTGCCGCAGAGAGACTCACCTCTGTTTCAGCTGGAGATGTCAGTGGCTGCTGATGTTTCAATAATCCATTTCTGTCAAAGAGGTTAATGTCTAAACTGAAGTAGTGAAACCTGCCAACTTCACTGGCCATGCTCACAAAAGATACGGATCATTTTTTCCTTAAGGTGAAAACTCCTTGTTACTTAATATGAAGCCTATTTCCAAAAATTACAACTTTAGTTATGGCTATAGTACAATCGTACAAAAGCCTCTTCCTCCCCTGCAAAGTACATAGTTCATGGATGTGGAACTATCTGTCCTTCCTGCACATCCATTTTACATTCCATGAAGCAGATAATTTGTGAATTCCACCATTCTCCTCAGTACACCACTGGTCTAATGCAAACATTTCTTTTCTGTGTGTGAGCATTTTCCAGCTTTTCTGGAGCCACACAGTAACCCAACTTCCACGATTAACAGTTGTGCCCAGATTTAATGTCTGGTTGGCATTACACTGCTGTAATAGGGACACTCATGACCGAGGAGGAGAGAGGACGTACATATGCATGTCCTGCAGCCTGAGCTGAGAATGAGATTAAATTGTGGTGGGCTACCAATTTGTCCACAGGCAATGGGTGCCAGAAGTGCTCATTGGCAGGATTTAAAGCTGTGCACAGTTCTACTTTTCACTCCAAAAAGGGGATGTTGTATTTCTGAACTTACTGGATTAAGGTTTTTCTGAAACAGGATCATACTCATGGGGGAACAACAAACTGATCCTGTATGTGCAGCGTTAGGCATAGGAGTACTACTACCCTTCATACTTGTAAAATTCAGCAGGATATGGCATCAGGATGCCAGTTTCAAGCCCTTTAGATACAGAATTTTCAGCATAGGCTCATTTTCTGTAAGCAGGCAGTGACAGGCACACAAGGGTTTGTGTTATTTTTTTTTAATTAAGCTGGAAGCGTGGCACCAGTCAGGCTGAAAAATAGAACCAAACATTCAATGCTTGAACCTACAGGATGCTACATGCCAACCCTAGCCCAGCAGAAGATGAGAACCCCCATCCAAGACCTTGCAGAATCCACTGAAGTCAGAACTCCTACAAGATGCTGAGGGTCTCAGAGGTCTGTTGAGTGACACACAGGGTGTGGGCAGGCCAACAATCGCAAAAATCATTCTATTGCAAAGACAGAAAATACCACTCAGAATGAGCAGAAGTTAAATTCTTTCTCTGCTTAAACAGAAGCAATGCAAGGCTGACATCTTTAAAAAAAGGGGAGTTACTCTCGTGGTTCTCTTCCTAGAAGTTTCACTTCCTTAGGATATGTGGTTATTTTGGGTTAGCACAGCAACTGCCAGAAGAGAAGGCATTTTATTTTCTTGTTTTGTTTTTATACTGAAGAACAGGGAAGACCACCATGTCCTGGAACAAGAGGAGGGATTACAAAAGCCTGCCCTGAACAAAAGGAGCTGTGTGGAGATCTTCCTGCCGTACAGAGGTTCACAATAATTCCTTTCCTGTGAAGCCACACTGAACATTCTGAACAACTAATATGGGATACTCGGGAGATGTCTAGTCCGACAGTGATGTGAAAACCCTTTTTGTGGTGATCCAAGGTGAAGTGAGTGGGCCTCTGCCACATACTTTGCTCTGGTCAGGACTATACAGGTCTCTATGGGAAATGCCTGCTTTCAGGTTGTTCGCTTTGTTTGGTTTTGTATCGCAGCTATGGCCCAGCACTCTTCTTAAGGAAGTTGGTTTGGTGGGAATAGGATCTGCTATATCTTGAGTATTGCCTGCCCGTTTTCAAAAATACAGATTTCTCTAAAGAAATGGCTGCAAGTGCTGTATAATCAAAGCTGCAGCAAACAGGCACGCACCTTTCTGTTTGGAGAGATGGGACTCAGTTTGCATTCTTTATATATGACTGTGCTTCAGAACAAACCAAAAACAGTTTTGTTCTATAGAAGCTAAACAGATAAAATATACAATTACGACATCATTGCATTTGTAGGAGTTGGTTTAATATAGAGGCATATGGCACCTGAATTATGTAGGCAGCTATTTACAACATTATCTATTGAAAAGAGTATGACTTAGTTATTTAATTATCCATTTTACAGAAAACTATTAAGTAACTTTCACCTCTGTGCCATTCCATCATGCTTATTTGTGCTATCCCAAGGTGATACAGCTGCAATGCTCTCCAAACACTGCTTTTTGGCTGATACCTGTAACAGTAGTCTTGTCTGTGGGCTCTGATGATTTTTCTGAGCAGTTAAACTACATCTGAATTGTTACTGTGTGAATTCCTGGCTTCCTGAACCACAGCAAAAAACGGCTTAAATTTTATAATACACAGTGTGAGTGTAGTGACCTCTGATCTCCCTAGATTATACAAACAGGAAAGGTCTCTCATGCTCCAGGCCATGGAATGACTCAGGGAAGTCATCCACTGCCTCCCTTGGCTCTGCCAAGCCCCTCTGCTGCAAAAAGCCTGGTGCCTGAGGCCACTGCCTTCAAGCAGAATCCCCTCCTGGATGATGCATCCCACATCACTGCGCTGTCATTTGCTTCACCTTCAGTATGTATATCTTAACCCCACAGCTTCAAGGCATTTGCAGGCATCCAGGCATCTCCCACAGATTTTGTCGCTTTACAGTGCATCTCCGTTTTTGCCAGATGCCTACTGCTGGCTGCTGCAGCCCCTGCCAGCATTCCCTGTGCCCCACTCTCTGGGCGTTAAGGCAGGGCATGCCATGGGGTCCCCGTGGAAAGGAAGGACTGTATTTGTAGGCACAGGCCTCCCCACCTCCCTCCCAAATGCAATGCTGCTGGAGGCTCCCTTAGGGATGGTGTCCCGGCAAGCTATTAAAAGGCTAAAGCAGCCCCAGGCACTAGCCCCATACTCCCTTTCTCCTGCTTTTCCCCTCTATATGGGCTCCCCTCTTCCCGGAGGTGCAGTCACGGCTGCCGGGGTCTCCGTCGAGATTTCCCAATGCATAGCAGGACGCTGGTCAATCCTGTGCGCCACCGGCGGCTGACAGCCTGACAATCCCCCTCTTCCTCCTTCAGCTGGCCGGGATGGAGGTTTAAAGAAAAAAAAAAAAGTAAAAAAAAAAAACCCAGAAAAGAAAACTTCTGGGGTCACTGGGAGGGGAAAAAAATTCCTCGTCACGTCTGTTACGTCTGCGAAACCGTCCCGAGAAGGAAGAGGAGGATCCCGCCCCGCGGGGACCGCAGCGTTTGGTGGAGGGGGTGAGCGCTGGCTGCGAGGCCGGGGTTGGGGGAGTCCCCCCCGCCGTGGACGGGAGGGGCTCTGCCTTCCTGCGGCAGGAAGAAGGGGCCGAGCCACCCTGCTCCCCGCCCCAGGAGGGGGTGAGAGCCGCCCTGCTCAGTGCTGGGGGCTCGGCGGGGCAGAGGCTGAGGTGCTCGGGCCGTCCCCTCGCCGCCGGCCGCCGTCTATGAGGCACTAGCTAGCCCTCCTTCCAGCGCCGGGAGGCGGCACAGCCCCGGGGGGCAGAGCCGGATCGGGCCGGGGGGGCCGTGGGGCGGGTGGCACCCCCCTTCTCTCTTCCTCCTCCTCCTCTTCCTCCTCCTCCTCTTCTTAACTTGGCCACGGCGGCGCGGGGCGGTGCGCTTCGCCCTGCGCCGGCGACGGGGGATGTGCGGGCGGCGGCGGGATGGCTTCGGCCGTGTTTGAGGGCACCTCGCTGGTGAACATGTACGTGCGGGGCTGCTGGGTGAACGGGATCCGGCGGCTCATCATCAGCCGGCGGGGCGACGAGGAGGAGTTCTACGAGATCCGCACCGAGTGGTCGGACCGCAACATCCTCTACCTGCATCGCAGCTACTCTGACCTCGGCCGCCTCTTTAAGCGACTCCTCGACTCCTTCCCTGAGGACCGGCCCGAGCTGTCCCGCTCCCCTTTGCTCCAAGGTTTGAGCAGCTTTCTCGGGCATGGCTCTCGCTGCTCGGCGGGAGGGCGGGCGGGTTCCCCGGGGCTGGCGGTGGCCGGGGAGGACGGGCGGGCGAGCGGGTCCCTCTGGACGGAGGGAACGGGGGTGAGGAGCTGGAGCCGCTGCGGGCCCGGACGGGGTGGGGGGCAGAAAAGCTACGGGGGCGTTTTGCGGTCGGAAACTCCGCCCGGGATGTTGAGATGTTGATTTGTGTTTCCTTTTCTTTCTTTTTTTTTTTTTTTTTTTTTTTTTTTTTAAATATACGGGCTACTCCGCAGCCGGGGGATCCAGCAGGAGGAAGACCCCAGTCTCTGTCTCCCGCTGCGCGGCTCAGGGCTTTGCTGGGCTGTGGGAGCAAAGGGGTCCCCGTTCGCGCTGCCCCTCTCCGGTGCCTCCAGTCTCCCCGAGGAAGGGCTGGGGGGTGGCTGGCGGGAGAAGGGGCGTAGCTGAAAAATCTCTGTATCTTGGTATGTTGTTTGCCACTAGGAGAGGGCAAAAAAAAAAAAAAAGAGGCTGCGACGCTTGCCAGTGGACGGAGCGAGTCTGGGAGCTGGCATAATTCCTCGCATAACTTCTGCAAAATGGGAATTGCACCAGCGGTTAAAGAGTGTTCCCTTCCAGTTTCTGAAGTGGATTAACCCAAGTCGGGGGATGTTGCCCATGCTCAGGTCTCCCTGTGCAGAAGCAGGATGTACCCGTTAAGCTGTTTTGGGGCTTGGTTTTAATTTGTTTAACGATTGAGGTATTTTTTAGATAGAGCTACGCGTTTTGCTCTAACATATTTCAAGTGTGTAGAGTGGTGCGGAGCATCCGGTCATCTAAAAATGGATGTATGCGTAGCACTTCCAGTCTCCCCAGTTGTTGAGCTACCACGTAGATGATTTGATTGAACAGGAACGGGGAGGAGCCGATATTCTGTGCATGTTTTCCTCTGTGAGAGGATGGGGAAATTTTCTCTGGCTCTCACTTTGCCTCTCGCCTTGCTAGTGTGACCCCCTTGCAGAGGGTCTGCGCTTTCCCATTCTCGGGGCTGGGTCTCCACCGCTCATACTGGACTTAATTTCTGGGCCCTCCCTGTGCGACAGCGGGCTCTGTTCCCTGCGAGTGGGGATTGTCTCTCCCGGACTGACTCCCCAAGGTTGTTTTCGGACGGGTGTTTAAAGTGAGACAGGTCTTTTTCCGTTGTCTTGCCAGATCCCTAGCCCCTGGTGGTGAAGTAGGGTGGTTTTTTTAATGTGCCTCACATAAAAGTGCTTGTACCTTTACCTCTCCTTAGCTTCTTTCGATCTCGGGAGCCGCAGCCCGCTTCCCGGCGTGTGTTCCCCGGCGCTGGGCTTTCCCGTTCCCGCTGCCGGGAGGTGGCAGCTCGGCCCCGCCGGCCCCGGGAGCTCCGCCGCCACTCGCAGGCCCTGAGTGCCCTCTGCAGACGGCGGGAACGGGCGCAAGGCAGCCGGGGAGCTGCAAGCCCCGCATCCCCTTGCTGCCCACTCCGGCGTGCGGGGTGGGAGGTGCTTGCGGGGGCTGGATACCGGAGGAGGGCTGTCTGCCCCCGCTTGGGTGCAGACTGGGAATAAGGGTGTCCTGCGGGTCCCATACGTCCACCTCTCAACTCTGATGTTCTCAACTCTGATGTGTGCCTGGCACATACAGTGTCTTATACTATTAGGTTGCTGACCACGGATGTAAAGTATTGTGAAAACTTACTACCCTTTTTGTGTGCACTACATAAAGTACTCAGAATGTGATTTTTAGTAGTGCTGAATGTCTGTAAATTCTAAGTAACACGGCCTTCAAGTGTATATGGCACCTGGGCCCTGGCTTTTGAGAATGCTGGGTAGGTCTGGAGCAAGCCTGCCTGTGGCCTGCAGGGCACAGCATCTACCAGGGTCACTGTGGCTAAAATTGGGCCTCCCAGGGTGCCAGTAGTCCTTCTTGTTGGCTTTATGGGGCTCTGAAGAGCAGCTTGGCAGCTGGGCTGTGGTGTGTGCTGGGTCTGGCCGCAAATCCTTGCTGGCCCTGGCCTCCTGCCCCTCCCATTGTGCACAGGAGCCACTTCTTGTCCTAGAGCCATTTTCATTCTTCAGTGCCTCTCTCAAGTGAGCGTGGTTTCTCTCATGTCTCAAGGCCTGCCACAGCTTTTGCAAAATATTAAAATTATTTTCACATCTCTCTGAGGCATTATTTGTGCAGTTTGAGCCAGATGGGATTACAGTCCCTTGCACTGGCTTTACTTGACAGTCCCAGGTAGCATACACCATCAGTGCATGAACAGCTGGGAAAGATTAACCATCCTCAGACTGCATTGCTCAATCCGTCCCAAAGACCTAGAGCCGGCAACCCTGACTTACCTTTCTCTCAGGAAGAGACATACTGACTTCAGTAGAATTGGGGATAAGCCAAGCATCAGCCCAGGATTTGAAAAATCAAAACTCAATATAAACAAATGATCTATTCAGCTTGTAGAGGGGGTGGGGGTTAACTTTGCAACAGAGATAGAATAAAAATCAGGAGTAGTTTCTAAGCAGTCACAGCATGCGTCACAATTTCAGTAATACTCTGTTTAAAATTATACTGCTCCTGCTCTAACGAAAATTATTTTGCAGAGTGTGCTTCTCTGCCTAGAGAACACTTTGTCATACCAACATTTTAAATTGACTGGCCACAGACTTGTGTAACTTGACAAAGTTGAAACGTAAAAATCTCATTTAACTAAAGTGACACTGATGCAGCTTTGGAGGTAAGAAGAGATTGCATGGGGCATGTCCAATCTTCACAAAATTCGTGGGGTAGGCATAGTTTCTTCACATCCTGTTTAAAAGCAGACATCCTTCTGCCTACAGTGAAGCTCAGTACACTTAATGCAACAAAAACACCTGACAAAAGCCCACTCTTGTGTGTATTAGTATTTAGTCATATACATTTGTGTGCATTTTTATATACATACAAATATATATGCATATGTATGTGAGTTTGTATATGTGTGTGTATTTATCTTGGGCTTTCTGAAAGAAGGTGAATATCAGCTGTGCCTTTTATCTGGAGGAAGGAAGTGGTGAAGTGTTGCAAACCAAATTTGCATTGCATTGAAGGACTCCACAGTCCCTACAGATTTGCCTAAGGAGCATTAAAAGGACTAGCATTATCCTACAGCTCAGTGAAGCTGCAGTATGTTACATTTAAGGGATATGGTTGAGGAGTGAAAGCTTGAGCTATTTGATGTTATTAACTCTTTAAGAGGGTTGTTTTTTTTTTTAAAAAGTCAGCAATATTAGAAAGAGTTGGTTGTTACCTTTATTGCTAGCTTCAGCAAACAGCTCATACTGAGCAGGAGTGTGCTCCTTTTCTTGCTCAGCAACAGCAAACCATCCTCTCCATTCCTTTCTTCACCCTCATCCTTTTGGACTGACTTCCACAATGCTCTCCCCCTCTGTACTCGTTGGAGCTGCTGAGTGCTTTGAAATTACAGAGGAGAGAATGAGAGGTATAGTTTTCTGCAGTGGCAGTTCATCTTACCCTTTCTTTGATATGAGAAGAGAGGAGGTCCCAGTGGGGAGTCTGGCATTCACACAATCTGGTCTTGTCTTTGATAACTAATAAGAGCACGTGGCAAAGTGCACTTTCTGCATCTGGAGTGTACTATGATGCTAAAGGCCAAGGACATTCAAAAACACAAGGCATCTCACTAGTAAGCTGGTAAACAAGGTTATTTATGTGCGTACCTGCAGGGTGACTAAATATGATTCACTATGATGTTACCTATAACTTGCTAGTACTTTATTCATCTTTGAAATATGCCTGTCCCTTGCTCTAGGCAAATGTAGAAAAGAGGATCACAGAAAAACACAGGCTAGTTCACTCTTGCAGTGAACACAGCCTAATGTTACTAAACTGTCTGTTTCTCTATGCAAAGTAAACAGCTTTTATATTTAAATCAGTTTGTATGAGAAAGGCAGAGCTATGGACTTAGAAGCTGACTTAAAATTGATGATTTAGAAATTGTTACAACAGACCCAATAGAAACCAAAAGTGAGGTCTAAACCTGAAAAAGTACTCTTTTTTTTTTTTTCCCCCCCCTCCTATTTTCTGTAAATACTGCTTGTGAGGGATTCTCATCTAAGATAATCCAGCTTCAGTGCAGCCAGGCACCTCTCTCGCCTTGACTTCAGTGTGGGCAGAATCAACCCTTAAGTGCGGAACCAGAAGGCAAAAGAGCACGTTACCAGCCTGTCAAAGTTGGGATTTTTTTTGCCTATGGAGTGGCAGAGTGGTTTCTGACAATCCTCCTCTGAACTTGCTTGTTGCCCTTGTCATCAGAACAGAGGCTCAAATGCTCTTTCAATGTCACTGGTTGTATTGCACCTATGTGTAGCACCTGGTCCCGCTCTGCTACTCTGAGCTGCCAAATCAAAAACTCTCTGACAGGTTTATTTTAATACTAGATGGGCCTCTCTTCCCAAAGTGCTCATTTTCCTCCTTTCCATGCCTCCTCTGACTTGTTCTGCTCTGTTGTGGCCTTTTTTCCTCTTGCTCTCCTTTCTGTTATTTCCTCTCTGCTCCTCCAAGTTGCTTTCCCTGAGCTGCTTTCTGTTCCTTTTCTTTGCCTCCAGGTTTCCCTCGCTGGCGTGCTGCCATCCATAATTATCTGTGGCTCTCCATAACTTTTCTGTTGCCTTCTGCCTTACTGGTGCTCGACTTTTGTCCATCCATAGAAGCTTTCCGGTAATGGTAGAGATTTCCTATAGAAACTTTACACCTTTAATTTGCCCCATAGCATAGAGGTAGTCACTTAACCTGCAGCAGACCCTGAGCAGTCCCTCACAGATGACTAGTGCTGATCTCTGAGCCTTGTACCTGCCTCTGGTGTGGTTGCCTCAGGTGGGAAGCAGATGATCAGCTGTTTTCTGTGTCCTGTCCGAGTGGCTGTGCCCCAGGAAGCACATGGTGAGCTCCTGCAGGGCTGCTGCTGGACGTGCACAAAGC